CCTGTTTCTAAATGACCAAGCAAAGATGCCTAAGAGTTAGTAGTGAGACATGGCGGCCAAAAAAGGAGAGAGCCATGGCCTCCTCAGATGGATGAGGAGAGGGCAGGTCTGCTGGGTTGGGGTCAGATATGGGCATCACAGTTTAAGGAAGGCCTGGAGAACATCTAGAGCCAGGCTGGTGAAGGATCCCAAAGAATCCTTGGCTGAGGGAAGCAGATGGGTGCCGTCTAGAGGAGAAAAGACTGGGGGAAAGGCATGAGAATAGCTCAGTTATTTGAAGGGCTCTCATTTCAAAGAGGTATCATGCTAATCACTGGAGCACAAACACAGACAAAAACAATCTCTGTTCTCAGGCAGCTCACAATTTAACAACAGCAAAGACAATAAGAATAGAGACATCATGGTATAGTGGATAGAGATAATAATAACAATAATAATAATTATCATTGTTATTATTATCATTAGCATCATGGCATTGAGCATAGAAATAATAATAACAATAATAAGAAAAATTATCATTAGCACCATGGCATTGAGCATAGAGGTGATGATGATGATGGTGGGGATGATGCCAATGTATCATGGCATAGAGGACAGAGAGTCAGCCTCAGTGGGCAACTTTTTCTGCTTGGCCAAGATGGTAGAAGCAGAAGGCCATGGGAGGAGTCTCCAAAAAGCTAAATTCGGGCTTTAAATAGAGACAAACTATCCTGGAGCCATTCTCCTCTTCCACCTTGGAGCTCATCAAGCAAAATCTTGGATGACCACTGTCGGGGATGCTGTGGAGGGAATTCTTAGGGATGTCGGAGATGGCCTTTGAAGTCTCTTTCCACTCCGAGATTCTGGGATCCTGGGGTCGTCTAGAAACAACACACCTAGATGAGGAAGGAAGGCACTGGCCAAAGGTACTAGGGAGAGGCTGAACTTGCTAGCCCATCCTTGCAGCAGGCCATTGCGCCACCTAGTGACCCTTGGAGGGAAAACACTCGCTTGGCTGCCCACGGGCCCTGGGGGCTTCAGGATTTCAAGATTGTCTCCCCACTGCCCTCTCTCACCAACATTCAAAGATCAGGAATGTTTTCCCAGCTACTTCTCCCTCCCCTCTCCCTGCCACAGACTGTATTTGGGGTAGATCCCTAACAGAAGACAGGCTCCCTCATGGAGACATGTAAGACCAGATATGAGCAGTCCCTTTTTGTTTACATTCACTCAACATTTATTAAAGTTGTGCAGACCATGGTGAAAGGCTGTGTGTGTGTGTGTGTGTGTGTGTGTGTATGGTCGTTCAAGGATAAGTAAGACCTGTAGGAGGAATGAGGTGGGAACACATCACCACCATCATCATCACTAACTTATAAGAAGATTGATTCTGATTCTGTGGAGAGAAAAGAGAGAAGGAAACCCAGGAATACACTTTATGGAGGTTTCCCCCCCCACCCCCGCCCATTACTTATGCCCTATAACTGCCTGGTTATGTCCTACTTTGGAATCCTGAATATTGAAAATGATCACAGCAATGAGAAGGCCAGGAGGCCTCACTGCATCTCTCTCCAGTAATCTATCAATTTAGGACTTGCTCTCTGCTGGCCATTGGGTTTACAAAGACAAAGAAACAACCACCACCAGTCCTTGCCTTGAAGCAGCTTCTGCTCTACTGGGAGAAACAATCGGTATCTAGAAAATCAAATAGAAAATCTAAGCATTTAAGATTTTGAGGGGAAGGCAATAGTAATTGGGGCGATCAGAAAAGGTCTCATGCAGAAAAGCTGAGCTTTGAAATAAGTAACATAAAGATTCTATGAAGCAAAAATTGAGGAAGGAATAGAGTTCAGGCCTGGGGGGTTGGGGGGCGAGTCTAGGAAGAAGACTGGAAATGGGCTATGTGGCAAAAGAGTCCCCTGGTTTGGCTGGTCTGCAGAATGGGTGAAGGAGGGGAAGGCAGCCCCCTGGAAGTAGCCTGGGTCAGGGGCTTGGCCAGCTCCTGCTCCATGAGGTGCACTGGAATCCTCACCACAGAAATAAAATAAATGTCAGAGAGTTCTACTTTTCCTTTCTTTAGGAAGGCCAGAAAGAAGCCCAAATAGAAGGGACAGCTTTGAAAGGTCTACGGTGAATTTACTATAGATTTGCAAAGAAAAGTTGCACATAATAGAGATTCAGTTTCATGGACAATCCTCTTTTTCTGTTCTACTACTCACATGGAAATACCCATTTTATTTGGCATTGTTAAGTTCAGAATAAAATCCAGCTTCAGACACCAGTTGTGTGGCTCTGGACAAATCCCTTAATCCTGTCTGCTCCAGTTTCCTCATCTGTAAAATGGGGGTAATAACAGCACCTGCCTCCCAGGGTTGTTGTAAGACCAAGTGAGACAACATTTGTGAAGTATCTGCACAGTGCCCGGCATGTGTAAGTGCTATATTTGTTATTCAGTGTCCAACCCATTGGGACCCCATTTGGGATTTTCTTGGCACAGATACTGGAGTGGTTTGCCATTTCCTTCTCCAGTTCATTTTACTGATGAGGAAACTGAGGCAAACAGAGTTAAGTGACTTGCTCAAGGTCACAAAGCTAGTAAGTGTCTAAGGCTGGATTTGAACTCAGGTCTTTCTGACTCCAAGCCAGGTATTCTATCTGCTTCACCACCTACCTGCCCTATAAGTGCTTTATAAAAATTATTTTTATTATTATTACATTTAAAAAAATCTTATTCTTTTCTTTGTGTGGCCATCTTATATCTTGTAGAAGAATTCAGTTCCATGCTGGAAAAAATTTTTTTTTCCTCTTTATTTGGTAGACATCCAAAGCTATCAGCCAGAAAGCGGGCCTGTGAGAAGGCCCTTGGCATCTTTCTAATTTTATCCAATAAATACCAGCCCCAATCATCAACATTCAAGTGCTTCTGTTGTCAGGAATAAATGCTTTCAGCATACTCAGAAATAATGGCCAAATTTATCTATTAATAGCAAACTAGGCCTTAATCTCTAATTAGACTGATTTTTGCTGGCAGCTTTTTAGACCAGCTTCCTGGAAACGCAAATATTCGGAAATGTTTGGCAACCGGCCTGCTGATGGCCTCTGCGGCCGTCCCTGGACCACGCTACGTGAGCTCAGAGAGGAGCCAGAGCTGGACCGCTGCCAGAGGATTCATTTTTTGATACTCTTTACTCAAAGACCATCTACTGACCTGAAGAGGAGGTGCAGTCTTCGTTGCCAGTTGATCAGTCAGTCAATCAGCAAGCAGTCAAGCATTTGCTAAGAGCCTACCAGACAGGGGTGATAGCTGTAGTATCCACCAAACCAGGCTGTTGGAAAGCTCAGAGGGAGCAACAATTAGGGGGAAACAGGGACTTGATCAGCTGTTTTTAGTCTCAAGTGACTGTTGCCTTCACCTGGGTCCCTTGGGGAGCCCTTGTCTAAGCTTCCCGCTAATTACTCTGTGTGCCCAGTATGCTGGGAGGGGAAGATGCCCTTCCAATGGAAAGACGCCGGAGGAATCTGCTGCAGCTCTGGGGATCCTGGGGCCTCTTGGCCTTGGGACCGGACCACCACTGACCTCCTTTGTACAGGTCGTGGGGACCACGGAGGACTGACCTCCTTTGTACAGGTCGTGGGGACCACGGAGGAGAGGCGGGAGCCCAGGGCCCGACTGCTATTTTGTTTCCTTCTTTTCTGGGATAACCCTGGCTCTGCCCCAATGCCAGATGGGCATCTCAACTGCTCAGAGACTCCTCTCTCTGCACATTCCTGGTCATCCTGCAGGGAGACCTACTTAGTCCCAAGAAGCTTCTGGGCTGGCTCCTGGTCCAGTAGAGTTTTTATCATGCAGCATGGCATCAGACAGCACAGCATGGTGGAAAACATGCTGGACCTGGACCCAGAGAACCTGGGTTCAAATCCCTCCTCTGGCACATACTACCTGTGTGACCTTGGTCAAATCACCTGACTTTTAAGGGCCTTGATTTCTGGACCTGTCAAATCAGGGGTTTGGGCTGGGTCACCTCTCAGGCCCCTTCTAGTTCTAATCTATGATCTGGTCTGTGTCTTTATACTCAAGTGACTATTTTAAGCAGCATAAGGATGGGTCTGTTTTATCTCAACTTTGTATCTAACTGAATGAACGAATGAAAAATATTTACTGTTTCTGTGTGCCCAAAACTGTGCTGAATGCTTGGTGAATGAAAGAATGACTATGTTCAACACCATCCCTTTCCAAGGATCCCCTTATAGAGTGCTTTATATAAATAAAATCTCATTCGATATTCATGGAACGTTAGGAGGTGGGGGCTATTATTGTCCCCATTTTCTGGATGAAGACACTGAGGCAGACAGAGAGGCTCAGTGACTTGTTCGGGTCGGACAACTAGGAAACGTCTGAGGCTGGATTTGAACTGGGGTCTTCCTGACTACCAACAACAACTGGCAACAAGCATTTATTAAACCCCTACTGTGTGTCGGGCACTGTGCTAACTCTGGAGACACAGAGAAAGGCCCAAGGCAGACACAGGAGTCCCCTGAGTTAGTGCAGACAAGGGCTCCTTTGGACCCTCGGAGGTGCGTGCCCCACTCGGCCCCACCTCCTTGCTGGCGAGCAGAGGCAGGCAGGGTTTCCAGGTCCCCGCTCCGGGCACTGCCCGGCCTGGGCAGCAGAGCGCGGGCCAGTCTCCCACGCCGCACCTTCGTACGCACAGGTGTCGGGGGGGCGCTGCGCTCTCAGAGTCCTCCGAGGCTCTCGTGGGTGCCGCTCTCTCCTCCCGTCGCCAGGGGTCGCCAGAGCGCCGCGGCAGCCTCGCCTCCCCGTCGCTGGCCCCCTCCCGCACCGAGCACAAGCCTAGGAAGGTTCCTCCTCCAGAAGGGATCGTGCGCATGAGCGCGCTGGCTCCCGGAAGGGGAGAGGCGGAGCCAGAGGGCAGGAAATAGGGGCGGAACCCCCTCGAGGGATCGGAAACGATTGGGTGGGATAGCACCTGGGGCTGCGAGGCCGAAATACAGGCCTTACGGGGGAGGGCGGGTTTGCGCCTGCGCCGGGGACCTTCCGAACGTCGCCGCCACCTGGGGCTGAGGGGACGTCGGGGTCAGTACTTGGGGTGATGGTCAGGGCCTCTTCGCTTGGCCTGGGGACCAGGGGGCCTGGTGAGGGCCCGAGGGACAGTGGGGGTGGGTCTGACCGGGGAGGGGCAGGGCGTGTGTGTAGCGGAGGGCGGGAGAGGGAAAGGAGAGCGCTTCCTCCATCCGGGGCTCGAGAGGGGGCGGGGCCTTTGCGCCGGCTTGGCTGCCGAGGGGCGGGGCTTACGGAGAGAGGGCGGGGCCGGCGCCGGCGCCCTGGGGCCACACGGCTATGAGTAGCAGGGCAGGGAGGTAGGGGCCCATGGAGTCAGGTTCGAATCCATTTTCTTCTGTTAACATCCTCTGTGACCTTGGTCCAGTCACTTTGCCAGCTCTCAGTTTCCTCCGCTGTAGATGGACTCTAAGGGCCCTTCAGCCCCAAGTATGTGATTTATGATCTGATAATAAGAACAAGTCGAGTCAGCAGGCATTTCTGATGCACCTCTTTTGTGCCAAGCACTGTGCTGAGCATGGGGGCCACAAGGACACAGACGCAATTTATGTTCTCAAGGAGCTCCCAGGCTAACAACGTAACAGTGACGATAGTGGACACATTGTGGCGCAGTGGATGGAGATACTATTGTAATAGCGACAACAATAACAATGAATGACCTTCAGCCATATCCGACTCTGACCCCACCTGGGGTTTTCTTGGCAAAGATGCTGGAGTGGATCGCCATTTCCCTCTCTGACCCATTTTACAGAGGAGGAAACTGAGGCAAACAGTTCAGTGTCTTGTCCAGGGTCACACAGCTACTAAGTGTTTGAGGCCAGATTTGAACTCAGGAAGAGGAGTCTTCTTGACTCCAGGCCTGGTGCTCTGTCCACTGGGCCACCTAGTTGACCCCATGTAACAATGAATACTAATTCATAATAATGGCAGTATAATGATAGCCTCAGAGCCAGGAAGATCTGAGTGCCTCTGGCATGTCCTGGCTGTGTGAAAAGTGACTTAACCCCCTCTGAGATAAAAATTGATCTGCCTTGAGTAGAAGGAGTTCTTCCGGGAGTCCCCCTTACCAGTGACGTTGTAGGTTCAGACCCCGTCCACAGTAATAGCTAACCTATGTACTGGTAGTAAGCAGCAAAGCTGGGGTTCCTGATCAAAACCTTTGACTTCAATTCATCAGAAATTCAGACATTCCTTAAGGGCCTCCTTCCTGTACATAAAAGCATTTAGAATTCTTTTACTTCTTTAGAATCCTAAGTTTCTTTCACAGCCTGTGTGCCACCTCTTACAGGAGGGCTTCCTAGTGTGCCCCCCTCCCCCACTTTGTGTTATTTTGAAGCTTTACTTTGTGTGCCTTGTGGTTACTTCTCTGGGTCCCTAAGCTGTGGCCTCAGCAGAATGTGTCCCTTGTGCAAGCCACGCCCTTAAATCTTTGTTGAACTGACCTGGCTCTAGAGAGGAGGGGGGCTTGTTAGGAGAGGGGAGAGGCATGGTGAAGGGAGGGGGGAGTCCCAAGTGGGGAGGGAGATTGCAGGTTGGAGTGGGGAAAGTGATTAATTCAGTGTCAGTGTTTCATTTTCCCTCATCTGTACTCCACACACTTCTCAAGAATGTCCCCTGCTGGGCACACCTGGCTGGATTCAAATCCTCCCCTTGTACTAGTTGGGTGACCCTTGCAAATCACTGAGCCCTCGTTTAAACATCTGCAAAATGGAGGTGATATCTGTAGTATCTACCTCACCGGGTTATTGAGAGGCCCAGATGAGATGTCAATCAACAAGCATTTATTAAATATTTTCTATTTGCCAGCTCTATGTTAAGTTCTGAGGATATGAAGGAAAACAAAATATGTGTCAAATGCTTTGCAGATTTTAAGGGGCTTTTATTCTAAGGGGAGCGGGGGCAAGAAGGAAACAATGAGGTAAATATACAAAATATGTACAGGGGACATGGAAGGGATGGAGGGTGAAAGCAGCTGTTGGGGACCGTGGGAAGGTCACATACTGAGTAAGTAGCAGAGTTAAATTTGAACTTGGGTCTCTTGGTTCTCAATCTAGCATCCAGCCCAATACCTGGCACGTGGTGGTAGTTGCTTGATAAATATTGAGTTGAGCTCCTGTGAGGGGTCTGAGAGGTAAAGGGGCTGTGTCAGGAAGGAGAGGGCCCGGCCCGGCAGGGGAAGAGGGAGAGAACAGATGGGTTTGGGAGGAGAGCAGAATGAGCATGGAGGGCTCAGAGGGTGAATGTCTGGGATAATAATAACTCCTATTTCTGTAGCATTTAAGGCTTATTAAGCAATTTCCTCCCAATAGTGCTGTAAGGCAGACCCTGGGAGAGTCATTACCTCTGTTTTACAAAGAAACTGTAGCTCAAAAGTGGTCTTGCAGCCAGGAATTGTCCCAGGTCCGGACGAATGCAGAAACCCCAGACTTCCTGCCTGCACTCCCCCTTCCTGGCTCCAGTTGATGGGGGTGGTGCTGGTTGTGTGGTTAGTTACAGTCTGGAAAGGCGCTCACCTGCTCCCCAGCCACAGCCAGCCGGCCTTCATTGCGAGGAGGGTTTATTTTTTGTTGAGTTTCTTCATAAAGAAGCACTGTGTCTGTCAGTGTTTGACCCCTTCTCCTTGAGACATCTTCCTTCCTGCTCAGGGCCTGAAAAAGGCCTGTTACTGGCACAACCTGTTTGAAGCCCACCGGTGTTTAATGCGTCAGAAAGTCAATTCATAAGCTTCCAAAGTAAATCAAATAAAAACTCTCTCCTTCAATTGCCCCAGAGCCTTTTAATCATTCCTCAGCACCCTGTCTGTAAGAGCCCTTTCATCCACCACCTCAAATACTGTCCCAGTGAAATGGAGCACCAGTGGCCAGCATCCAGCATCCCCACACAGGGAGTAGAAGTCCAGGGGGAGGGAAATAGCCTTGGGGAGCCTCGGGCCAGGCTGGCCGTAGAGCAGAGAGGATCCCTTGAAGGGCACAGCCGAGGGCACACCTGCCCTTCCCACCTCAGATCCGAGCTGTGCAACCAGGCAGACTGAGGCCTGCGCAAGTGGGCTTTGGGCCCCTCCTTGGTGGGTGGACTTTGTTGGAATGATTATTTAAAGTACTGTCCTATTTTTGCCAATCTGACAGCTGTTTCCATAGAAACCAGAGAAGAGACAGGCGCTTTCAGCGGAGTTGTTAAACCTGTCTTCGAGGCTTCAGCTGTGAATGCCAGGCAGTGTTGGACAGGCTCATTTTGAAATGATCTTTTAAAAATTAAGGCTCTAAAATGCTCTCAAAGACCATAAAGATTCAATTGTTTAATGAGCTCAAATGATTAAGTTAACAAAGATTCTTAGAAATTCCTCAGCTTTGCTCTTTAGCCTGCTAGAAGTCTTTTGATGTCAATTTATGGAAGCTTTTGATTTGGTTCTAAAGCCTTACATCTTTCTATCAGTATATATAATCTGGTATTTGGTTCTGTAACAATAAATTTCTTCCTCAAATAAATGAAAGATTATAAATTAGGAAATATTGCTATTCATTGCTGTAGGCATTGCAAGTGGTGTTCTTAGGCTATTTCTGTACAACTTAATAACAATTCAGGAGGTATTTATTATGCATCCACAGTATAAATGTAAGGCACTGTGCCTAGTACTGGTTGCTGCTTGGTTCCTGCCCTCCAGGAATTTATGATAGTTAGGAAGGTGACTCGGAGCTACTGGGATATAGAGGAGAGGGGTTGGAAGGAGGTAGCAACAGTGCTTCGAGTCATTTCATTGTTCAGGAAGCTCCCGGGCTCCTTCCTAGTGCCTAGAGTGGCTTTTCAAGCCCTTTGCGCTTTGGCTCCAGGCTCCCTTCCCAGCTCGTGGCGTATGGCTCTCCTTCATTCACCTCACCCTTCCCTGACCCTTCCTGGTGTCTCCCACCTTTGTGCCTTCACACAGGCTGCCCCTCCTTCCGGGAGTGCCCGCTGCCTCTTCAGCTCTGTCCACTAGGATTTCTAGCTTTCTTGAAAACTCAGCTGACGTGTTATCTCCTATAGCACAGGTTCTTTCGGCTATGTCCTAGGCTCCTTTGGCCACCTGGTGAAGCCGTTGGACCCCTTCACATAATCTTGTTCAAAAAGTAATTGAAAGAAAGTGAAAGAAAATGCACAATAAAGGTGAATATTTTTCTGATCCATGTTCTTGGAATCCTTTTTGGATTGATGGAACACATTAAAAATCCTGCCCTACCAGAAGGCTGTCCTAATTCTCTAGCTATTAATGCCCTTATCCCAGAAATTGTTTTGATCACATTATGGATTTAATTTTCTCCATAACTTATTATTTTCCCTCAATAGAATGTAAGCTTGAGGACAGGGACTGTTTTGATTTTGTATTTATGTTCCGCAGCATAGTCTAGTGCCAGTTTTACAGTAGGTGCTTAGTAAATGCTTGTAGAACAAATAAATGAGTGTTCTGAAGAAAGTGCTTCTAGCTGGAGAGCCAGAGAAAGTGCAGTGTTGAAATAATTTGTCAGCCCCTCCCAATGCCTCCTCCATGAGTAGAATGTTTATTTTCTCATGTAATTATGTGGCTTTTTATGTTATATCAGGAATTTAAAATTATAAACTAGATAAAGTGGTGGGGATACTGTTCATCTTTCAGATTTAAACCAGAAGGTGGCATGTTAAGATTTGATTAGATTCTCAAGGGAAGATGTCAACTTGTAGGTGGGAGAAGATGAGTTAAATTTTTCTTTTTTTTTTTTTGGTGAGGCAGTTGGGGTTAAGTGACTTTCCCAGAGTCACACAGCTAGTGAATGTTATGTGTCTGAGACCGGATTTGTACTTGGCTCCTCCTGACTCCAGAACCGGTGCTCTATCCACTGCCCCCCCCAGCTGCCCCAAGATTAGTTAAATTTTAAAATAACATTGTGATGGTTATTATAAACAAACACCTCCCTTAAGAAAAGGAGACTTAGATGATAATAGCTAACATTTATCTAGTTTTAAGGTTTGGAGGCCCTTATATCATCCTGTTCTTTCATCTTCAC